ACATAAACGAAGTTACAAAAGTATGATATTTTGTAACATAAATATGCATTTTGTTATAAATGCATGATGGGTCGACCTATCTAATAACTTTTAGGTCGCCTTACACAAAAATTTGGGATAACTTTTCCTTCAAGAGCAATCAAGATGAGGGGCCAAAAAACAACATGCAGCAAAGCTATAAAAGGGGGAGCACTCATGATCTGCTCATGTACCAAATAAAACAAGAGCAAGCAGCCAGTATTATCTGCTTTCATTAATCATTACTATTCTAGAAATTGCATTATTTGGATGACAGCCTAGAGGAGAACAACAAAACCACAAGTCAATTTAAAAGCACAAGGAGGTAAGTAAAGAATACCATTGATTTTCAAACAACTAAAATTTCAATGCTACATAGAACCTTAACTAGGACAACAACTCTGACATTATTTCTCACATTTGGATAGTCCTCATTCGGTAAATGTCTCAGACACATAAATCCCGCCAATTTGGCCAAAAGGCCAATTTTCATCATCTCCCACCAAACAGCTCAATATTAAAAGTGACTTAAAGGTATAAACTACAAAACAAATACTCGAGCAATTAAAATCTCCACGGCATTCCCCCTTAAACTCCTTATGGAATATAAAATATTTACAGGCCAAGAAAAATAATTTTCCAATAAATGTATCACAAAAGCAAGTTTACAGCAAACAAGTTTGTATAACATGTAAAAGAATAAAATCCACACAACCAAACATGCAACATGCAGCATATAATGCATTCTGCTCAACATATTATACTGTTGTTATTCATAATCCACCATTGGACATCAAAGCCTATCCAGAAAGAAGATTCAACCTTGCGAAACAATCTAGAAATTGCAACATAAAATGCAGACGTAATAAGATATACAGAGACTACAATGTTCATGTAATACGATATACATGAAATTACAATCTTCACCACAAAAAGTCCCACTCCCATCACTAATTGGTTTCGGAATGGAACTTCACTTAAGTGGCACATAGGCTCGCCTCTAAGGGTGAGCTTCACCTCTATGGGAACACACACTTTCACCCGAATATAAAAAATTTAACAGTGAATACTGAGTTCCAATTTATCAAATCGAGTAAGCATGTGTTTCGAAAGGCCAAACTACCATTTATATGAAAATCTCTGAAAACCTAAAATTATCAATACAACACCTATCTTTCAAACAGTCAGCATACCCATGAACAAGAGTTCAACTTATAGAACATTGGGACAGAACCTACCTTTTTCCCCCTTAAACTAAGCTAAATGTAGTAACACTGAAACACCAAGCAAACAACTACAAAACCAGCTAGCAACAGAACTAAGATCATCACATTTAACTGATTTAAGCACATATTTTTCAGCAATACATGTACAAAACATACATTAAAATATACCTTATATCTGCTAACAAGATCTTTCCATTTTCCCTTGCACTGATCAAGTGTCCTCCTATACCCCTTTATCCTCATCCCATTAGCCACAGCTTCCCACAAATTCTTGTCGCTTTCCTCCGCCGATAACTCCACCTCAAACTGAGCCCTAATTTCAATCAAATCCCTCGTTTCCTGGTTGCCCCATTGGGGGAACCTCTCATCCCTCCTCGAGAAATCGCCGTCGCCAGCTACGCCGCCGCCAGAAGAGAAAGGGATCGTGAGTTGGTGGTGGAGCAAGTGGTAAGAAATGGACGCGCTACCTGCAGCGACGGCGGAGGAGGAGGGGGAACTGCTTGGGCGGTGGCTTCCGACGTATTTTCCGGCGTTGTTGTACATCGTATCCTTTACTTTTCAGCTCATTTTTCCGGCGACTCGAGGAATCTTTACTGATCCATGCTTGATTTAGTGTGGGGTTTGAGGTTTTAATTGCAGGGAGGAGATCGAAGATTTTTTTTTTTTTTTTTTTTTTGCTTTTTTTCTGCTTTTTGACAGAGGAAAAAAGTGATCTTGTGCACTGTGCAGGTTTTGACTGAGTGAATATTGATTTATTTAATTGTTTGTTTGTTGATTTATTGGATGACTAGTACGTAACCCGTGCAATGCACGAGATGTAAAATTTAGAAGAATAACGTGCATTAGGATCGAAATTGAAATTATTAAAATACATAGGAACATTGTTGAATCATAAAAAGTTCGGTAACAATCATATATTATTAAAAACCTCCTTGTACACAACATTATGAGTTTGATTATTTGGTAACTCCTCATTATCACAAATTAATTTATCTATAGTAATATAAAGAGGTTGTTGGAAAAATATNGAAAAACACATGTAAATCTTTAAGAATCAAATTTAATTGAGATATCCTAAAAAAATTGGAGATTCTTATGGTAACAAATTTGGAGAATCTTATACCTATATTTAATTCGTTTTAAATATTAATCTCATAGGAATCTATTTTTATTGATAACAAATTTGAATATTCTTATGCCAAAAATTTGAGATTTTGAATTGATATATCCCAACAATTACGGATATTTTTCCATTCAAATTAATATTGTAAATCAAACAAAAAATTATTGCGAGAATAATTGATAATATACTGAATATTGATAAACTCCAATCCTCCATAAATTATTAATATTTATGAATTTGTGCGTAAATAACTAAATATATTGAATTGTTTTTCGTAAATCTATTACTATATAATAGAGAGAGAGAGAGAGAGAGAGATTTACTTGACATAATATTGAAATTTTTGCTTAAAATTTTCAAAGTTACTATTCTTAGTAATTTTTTTTAGAAATGGCGGCTAAATGAAAATTCGAATTCAATTTTAAATTTTTTTTTATTTGAGAAAGATATTATGTAAACCTTAATTCCTAAAAACATGGTTATAATATTGATCATAGAGATTTGTTACCATAATTGTAGGAAAATCAAAAGAGTATCTTCTTTAATTTCAACCATAATATTATTGGTAGAGATAATATAGGAAATATATTACATATATAATAATAATAATAATAATAATAATAATAATAATAATAATAATAATAATAATAATAATAATAATCATATCTATATGAATATCGATAATTTCCATATGATTTTTGAAATATTATACTAAACATATTGGATTTGATTTTGATTAAGAAATAATTAATCTAATTTTTTTTTCATTAAGTGACAACCTGTAAAGAAAAATTTGAAACCAAGTAAATATTTTAATATCATAAACTTATTATTACATAATAAATTTGATATGCGTAATGTCAGTTTTTATTTAATATGCTTAATATCTATTTATGGGATGTGCATATTAAATGTTTAATGTATATGAGAATTAATTTATTGTTATTGATAGCATATATAATTAATTACGGTAAAAATTTTTAGATAATTTTTGTTTTAAATTTTAAATTGCAATTCATAATTGTGATTTTTTTAAAAAAAATAAATAAATCCCGCCTAAACAATCAATGAAACAAAATTTACCAAAAATTACACAGGTGTTCATATTTATTTACCTTCAACGCCTTATTACAGTTCGGAAAGAATTCAAATTACAGTTTGGAAAGAATCTAAATTTATAGGAACTATATAAATTATTCTTTACATAAAATTTTTGAAAACCCCGACTTAAATTGATTTTTTCAAAAAATACATGAAAACACCACATTTTTATAATTTAGATTTTTCCATTATTTTGTGTACATTAACAATTATAAAATATTATTTTATTTTAAAAAAAATCAAACACAATATTTTGAGGATATCTTTTATCATAAATTTCAATATTCTAATTCGTTGAAGCACAAGTTTACAAATGTTGGTCTTTGAATCCGGTGAAACTTCACCGGCCGGGGACAATGAATAAAGAGAAAGAGCTATGCTATAATCAGATTGGAAATCATATTGTAATTGACCTTCTTCCTTCGCTAGCGGGTGGATCGACTCAATCAATGAGAACCACCCAAAACCTTTCTTTCAATCGAGCAGCTCCACTTAAAAATCGATATGCCTGCCATCCAGTAAGGCGATCTCGCTTTCCATAATCTTTGGTGCAGTCATATTCTTTCTCATCCGTCCAGTTCAGTTTTGAAAAGTATTGGCAAAGTTCAGTCATAGAAGATAGTTAATCTCTTATACAAGTCTCACTTTGCTCTCCTCGGTTGATTGAAAAGTTGTTTAGAAAAATTCCATCATAAAATTCACCGATAATACTATCTAATTACTCATGTTTTTTTTTAGGATTGATACATATTATTTTTGAAAAATTCATGCTATACAATCTTGTGAAATTTGTTAAATTTTTCATACCTTCTTACAGTTTGGAAAGCATAAAATTTATATGGACTTTTTAAATCATTTTGTCAAATAAAGTTTGGAAAATCTTGACTACATAATATATTGTATAAAATTTTAAACAAATGTTTTAAGAAATAAGCCCGTCGTGCATCGCACGGGATATTCACTAGTTATTATATAAAGAGGTAACCCAATAAATCCTAAAATAGTAGCTAAAAAATGATTAGAATTTCCGCCTAAAAATTTACTAAACATAGTAACTTTTTTAAAAAAATTTTAGAAATCCCGCCCAAGCATAATTTGAAATTTTCAGTCAAAAATTTAAATTCAAACAAAATAGTATCGAGAATAACCGGAAAAGTGGAAACAAGACCAGATAGAATTTGATCATTATGAACAAATCCAAAATCTTTGTAGACAAAATCAACGTTTAAATAAAGGATTGCCTGCAGATTTTTTTGGATATATTTAATCTTTATCTTATGTTTCAAATAATCTCTTCATTGTAGTTCAAGTTTATTTAATGTACATTAAATATTTATTATTATTATTATTATTATTATTATTATTATTATTATTATTATTATTATTATTATTGTTATTATTATTATATAAAAGTTTGATTATTTTTTAAATAGTAAATATTTTCCACCAAAAAAAAATCTATTTACTATTTCGAATAATTAATTTAACAGTTTATAGTATATTTCAAATAATCACTTATAAAAATCGCGTCTCATTATTTAAAGAAATAATTAACACATAAAAAGTTTTATTTTTAAGATAATTACTCAAATCATGTGACTTCGGATGATTTACCCAAATATGTCAATTTCGGATGCAATATTAATTATGTGATTTGCTAAAAAAGTCCAACTAAATTGTGTAACTTATTATTTAATAAGTGTTTTATATTTTTTGTGTAATTCTTTTATGGAATGTATTATTTTTTCTGTTACCATATGAAATGTATTTTTAATATAGAATAATTACGCAAATTGTGTAAATCCAACTGGTTTATTCATTTTGTAAATAATTACTATAATTATGGAAATATTGTCAACAATAATCAATTATGCGATTTGAAAAAAAAAAATTTGTTAATTTACTTAATAAAAGTTATTCATTTTTTGTGTATTTAATTATTCAACTTGTGGATAATTAATCAAATAATATAAAATGTACATTTTTAAGATATCCTAATTACACGGGTCATATAGATTTTGTTGATTTATTCAATTATAAATGTTTATAAAATTGTTCCAAGATAATTGTGTTAATTGTAATTTTCTTTCAATTATTTTTTAATAACTATTTTTTGGGTCTTTTTTATTTTTATCTATGAAAAATGTGGCTTTCGATTTTGTTTTCTACGTTGGGAAATTAATTTGTGGTAAAAGTAATTATCATTTTTTGTATTTTATTGATAAAGTATAAAATATAATTCTTTAGTATACTATATATTGATCCAATATACCGGCTTATGGTAAGAAATAGTATCTCAATATTTTTTTTTCCATATTGCTAAGCATTTTACTCGATATTAATGAAAGAAAAATCTAGAGAAGGTCGATACTTCTTTATAAATATATATACCAAATTATTTGGTATATATATTTATTAAATCGACCAATCTAATTAAATTACACAATACTATTCACACAACTTAACAACCACAACGAAAAAAAAAAATTGAGATACCCAATCATACCATAACAATCAGTCCATCTCATACAGTAATTGATCAACAAGTAATATACTAATAGGATTTAGTAACATCCCAACTGATCAACAGTAGAATATTTCTAAATTGAATTTCATCCAATCAAAAAAATTATACCGCATTTAAATTAAATGAGAATTTGATTAACAATTAACTAAAATATAATTGTCAAACAAAGTAAAATTTAATGTATTAAATAAAGTAAACGTTTTACATTACAGAAATCGTGTACTAAAGAATTTGTACAATTTTTAAATTGATTTATTGCAATTTCTTTATACTTTTCATATCAAAAATATTTATGGAATTTAACTAAATTATACTTTGTTTTTCCTTTATAAATTCAGTCATTTTTCGATCATTTGTTGTTATCCTTCATTTGATTTTATTTTTAATATTCTAAGTATTGATTTTATTTTTTTATTTAATTCAAGATGAAGTGCGAATTTGGTTTGATCAACAAAGTCACTAGAACTAAGAAACTACATATGAAGTTGTGAATAATTGAAAATAAATTTGCTGTTGAATACAAAAACTACTTGGAAATTTTCTGTCATGATGAGGAGATAAGAATAAATAACTTATTTTGAATTCATTTTTCCATTGTCTTTTTTACTTCATTATTTTTTTAACTAAACATGTTGTTGACGAGCGTTTTCGGTCAACGGTTAAAAAGATAAATGACAGAAAAGAAAATGATGAAGAGACAAGAAAATACGGCTCAATCGCGGTTTATTTGACAGATCGCTAGGTCGGCCTCTCGTATGAGGTCGGCACTTGCAATATCCTTACAAATAGTTACAGAATAATTATGCGAGTTTTAGAGAGAGAAAGTAGAGAGAAATAGCTATTACAGTTGAGGTTCAACAACCCAAAATAAATGAGAAGGGTTGCTATTTATAGTAGCCTTTAATGTGGCACTGTTCAGATA